AGGGAGTATATGTAAAATGTTTTACTGCATTAAATCTCCTGCAGCACCTCAGTAGGTTACCTCAGACAGAGGAGATGCACACGAGGCATTTGGACGCCCATACCTTTAAGAACTCAGTCCTGGGAAGCCCATGTAGAGAGGTTCTGTCTTGGGGGGCGGGGGGGGGGGGGGAATAAAAAAAAGCCCTTCTTCCCTGCTGTTTTTGCAAACACTGCTCTGTCAGTCCATTGGAGTAACTGTTACCCCCTCTGTCCCTCACCTAATTTCCCACCCTCTGCCCCCTTCCTTGATTTTGCCTCTCAGGCCCTACCCTAATCCTGCCTCCAGCTGCTTGGCACTCCCACCGCAAAAAAACAGTTTTCATTCCCTGCTCAGACCTGGCCAGTTTGCCCCCTTTGCTACTTTTTAACCCCTGTACAAAGCAGTAAGTAGAATCTTATGGCTGATAAGGGCAGGACGAAGGGCAATAGCTTCAGCAAATGATAGTGAGCATGCTCAGTATATGCGAGCATGCTCAGTGCACCCTAAGTAGCACATTCCTACAAGTTTTTCCTACACTATACTCTTGGGGCCCAATGACAGCTCCATACCCTCACTTTGCAGGATGCCTGGCAGATCGTAACCCTCAACCTCATGGGGCTGGCTGGGAGACCCGAACTCCCTGGGGCCAGTTGTGAGCCCCAGACTCCTGATCCCACAGGGCCGTCTGGCAGCCCCCGAATCTGGACTCATGACCCTGTGGAGCTGGCTAGCATGCTGGGTGCAGAGGCAGCCTGGATCCCACCCACCTCACTGGGTAGCAGGGAGCCGCAGCTGTGCGGTAACTGGGCCACATTCATCCCACCAGCCGAAAGAACCACTACTGTATGCTACGTAATTAAACCACTCACAGGCACCCTTGTGAATGCAGTTACATATGATGCTTGAGACCACAGCCTTTGGAACCAAGAGCTTAAAAAATATCTCTGGAATCTCAAGAGGAAACAGCCCAGCTCAAGTAAAGAGAAAAGAGCTTCCAGAAGGCAGAGCCCAAAGTGTTGAAACATTACCTTGAAATGTGACATGCAGCAGAGCTTGTCTCTGAGGTGGGTCTCTTCAGTCATGTTCATGGCTGCCATAAAGCCCACTCAGTAAATTCTTTACCTCTTAAGGGCACATAAGGGACTTGCTGAAGGATGCGCACTGCTACTTATGAAAAAAGGAAATACACTGTTCTTGAATACAATACTTTATCATCACTCTAACTGAAGCCACATTAGTTATTGTACACGTGTAACTGTTGGTATAAATCCACACCCCTAACACACACCGTTGTACCAATACAGTTTGCACATAAAGCAGCCTCTTTCTGTATACTTGATCAATTCTTGGAACTTGTTTCCAGTTGTCACACTCAAAGCCCATAATAATCAGACTAATGGGCCAGAGAGTAGGGGCATAAACAACTTTGGTGAGTTTTTGAGGGAATGGGGGAGGTGTGTGAGGGAACTAGAGTTAAAAATAAGTAGTTACTGAACAACAGTTTAATGAATACTTTTGTACCATGACTAAAATGTTTGCACCTTTAAATAAAGTGAGATAAATGAGCTTTAGTTCCAGACTAAAATATTGGAGAGAGCAGATCTAGAGGCAAAGTGGGGGGTTGGTACTTAACTCGACTACCTGATAAGCTATGACTACTCTTTCACATCCCTACTCATTTGTCTCTTCTATCCAATGTGTAGCAATAGTTATTACCCCATTTACATAGGACCTAGGCCAGCAGGGTCCTGACCTCTTAACTAAATGCTACCACAATGAAAAGGTTAATTGCTTTCAAAAATCTGTTTCTCTTCCTTTTACCCACGTACAATGTAGAACATGAATTAAATACTATAATGCTATCCCCTTGGTATCCTCAGGATAAGGATGGTCTTTTCAATATATAACGGAAAAGGGCCTTTCCTACCATGGCCCAACAGGAAACAGAACCACTTACTATGCCATTGTTTTATTTCCTTCCATCTTGAACTTATTTCCCTTCTTAGATGCTGCTTCTGCTTTAGTCAAAGGGCACGTTCCCATTAAGTTACACAGCACCTTTGAGGCCAAAATGCAACCCTTGTATGTTCAAAAGCCATTCTAATTACTGCACAGTCGGGCCAGATTGAGGGACTGGCAACCTAGGCAACTGCCTGGAGTGCTGGGTTTGGGGAGCGCCAAGTTCGGGGTGCTGCTTTTGATGTTGGTGACAAAAAGGGAAAATAGAAGGTTGCTGTCCAAGAAATGGTTCAATTCCTAAGTTTTCCACCTGTGTTCAAGGTGGGGGGCTGACAGATTTGCTGGGCCCCTAGGCAAAGTTTGTGTGGGGCAGCTCTGCGCTCCCAGAAGAGATGGAGCCATGGGCAGAAGGAGCAGGGCTGGAGCAGTTAGCCCTCCGTACCGTGCAGGGGGCAGCATGCTGGCTCTCCCCCCACTCACCTCTCAGCCACCCCTGAGAGCTGCCAGGGCAGCGGGGGAAGGGGGTGTGGAGAGGGTCCTCTGGAATAAATATAAAGGGCCCAGAGCTCCGGCTGTTGCTGCTCCTGTAGTAGCAGCAGCCGGGAGCCCCAAGCTCTTTTGAATCACTGAGCCATGGGGCAACTGCCTCCTTTGCCCTGTGGGCCTGGTTTAAGGAAACACATATTCATTACAAGAACCACTTGGTTACGAGGGCAGAGATGAGGTGATGGAAAGAAGAACTCAAAAGGGAGGGCTTTTTGGTTAGCTCCTTGACGTTGCTTAAGTGTCCATCAAAGGAAGATTTGGACAAATAAAGCACCACAAAAGTACCTTTTTTTGGTATGATCTTAAGTTAAAACACTTGAACAAAGGTGTTTTACCATTACCTTCACTGGAGGCTAACAAATGGGGAATGTTTGGAGGTCATGATAAAGACAACTGTGTTGAACACGACATCCAATACCTTTTGCAACATGGGAAGCACTCTCCCGTCCAAGTTCCAAGTCATTCATGATGTAGATCTGAAGAACGTTTTTCATAACACACTAACCCAGGAACCAATCCCTGCAACAAAACCCTTTGCCAATTCTGCTCATATATCTACTCAAGCGACACCATCAAAGGACCTAATTATATCAGCCATGCCACCTGCACAGCTACTAATGTGATATATGCCATCATGTGCCAGCAATGTCCCTCTGCCATGCACATTGGCCAAACCAGGCAGTCCCTACACAAAAGAAGAAAGGGACCCAGATCGGTCATCAAAAATGGCAACATACAAAAACCAGTAAAAGAACACTTCAGTCTCTGGACACTCAGGGTAGGTCTAGACTACAGGCTTCTGTCAACAGAGGTTTTGTCGACAGATACTGTCGACAAAACTTCTGTCGACAAAGAGCGTCTAGACTACATTGAGTTCTGTCGACAAAGCAAGCTGCTTTGTCAACATGGTAGTGTAGATGCAAAGGACAGTTTACATGCAATAACACCTTCTGTCGACAGAAACTCTGTCGACAGAAGGCGTTATGCCTCGTAAAATGAGGTTTACCAGCGTCGACAAAACTGCTGAGTTCTGTCGACAGAACTCAGCGGTAGTGTGGACGCAGGTATAGTTTTGTCGACAAAAGTCCACTTTTGTCGACAAAACCCTGTAGTCTAGACACACCCTTAGATTTAAAAGTCACCATCCTTAAAACAACAACAAATACCCCTTCAAAAACAGACTGCAGAGCTAGGGGTGTAAGAGACTAGACGACTACCAGATAAGCATATGCTTATCGAGTAGCTGAGTAGTGAGCCAACTAGTAGCTCCCCCGCCCTGCTGCCTCTACCAAAGAGAGGCAGCAAACGGGGGCAGGAGCTGGTGCTCGGGAAAGCCGGCTTGAAAGCCGAGGCCTGAGCCTCTGACTGGGCAGGGCTGATAAATCACCTGTGAAGCTTCCCCACAGCTTAGAGGAAACAGTGCCCTCCGCTATGCCTCTGCTCTTTAAATGATCTTAACACATTTAAAAGGCAGAGCAGCAGCAGGGTTTTAAGAGAGACTGGGAATAACTGCCTCCCTGCAAAAGCAATTTCTCCCTCTCCAGGGCTGTGTCTACACTGGCATGAATTTCCGGAAATGCTTAAAACGGAATACTGTTCTGTTTTCAGTTTTTCCGGAAAAGGAGTGTCTACATTGGCAGGCTGCTTTTCCGGAAAAGCGTCCGTGGCCAATGTAGACGCGCTTTTCCGGAAAAGAGCCCTGATCGCCATTTTCACGATCGGGGCTTTTTTCCGGAAAAGACTACTGGGCTGTCTACACTGGCCCTTTTCCGGAACAGTGTTCCGGAATAAGGACTTATGCCCGAGCGGGAGCAGAATAGTTTTTCCGGAATAGCGGCTGATTTTGTACAGTAGAGCATTGTTGCTTTTCTGGAAATTCAAGGGCCAGTGTAGACAGCTCGCAGCTTATTCCGGAAAAGCGGCTGATTTTCCGGAATAAGTGGCCTAGTGTAGACACAGCCCAGGTGTTCATATCTTCTCATCAACTGTTGAGAGCAAGTCACACCCACCCTGACTGAATTGTCTTAGTAGTACTGGTCCTGCAACTTGATATGGTAACTCCCTTCTTTCCATGTGCTAATATTGATGCCTGCCTCTGTAATTTCCATTCCAATGCATCTGATGAAGTGGGTCTGCCCATGAAAGCTTATATCCAAATACATCTGTTAGTCTTCAAGGTGCCACAGGCTTCCTTGTAGTTTTTGCAGATGCACATTAACACAGCTACCTCTGATTCTTATAACAGCATTAACATTCAGAATTATATTTGGTAAGCCATTCTATTGTGCCAAGATAGTGCTATACAAAAAATGAAAGATTAATCACTGCTCAGAAATCCTGGTTCATTTTCTGAGAGCCACTTATTTTAATTAGCTGACATTTTCTTTGCAGGCTGCCATGCTGACATTTACCAAAAAAACATCCTCCATTAATTTTCAGTCTTCATTAAAGAAAACTAGGAACACATTATTGGCTTCAATTTTTATTTTACCCAATCCCCTTTATATACAAGTTAATTATTTACATTATTTTACAATTAGAATCCAAATGCTCAGTTTTCATGGTATATTAAAACCATTTTCTGTCTTGTATTCAAGGTAGTTTTAGCCCTTTAACATAACTTACATACAACGATCTCATAACAGGACAAATTAATTTTTTTGCAGTGAAAATATAAACTGTTACACATATACAGGTAGGTAGAATTTGGAACAGCTACTCTGGTTGTTCATTAAGGATGCACTGAAATGCCATTAAAGTAAATGACTATTGGACTGAACCTTAATTTCTCCCTGTTGCATACTGTCAGAAAGCCAAGGGGCTAATCTGAAGCCAATAAAAGTCTTTGTTCATTCAGTGGGCTATAGAACAGCTCCCATAGATACTTTGAGTAAGTCTTTAAATGGGAATGTTTCTTCACACTAATACAGTAGTGATTGCTAGAGACTATAACAGATACAGACAAAATAGTTAATCTTTAGGTAATATTGTGGTCTATTAATTTGAATAGAAGTTAGACCTTTCCAGAATCTTTTTACAATCACCCCTCCGCTCCCAAATATTTCTCTTTGGCAAACTCAACAACAGCACTGCACCTAAGGGACACTGGCATATTAAAAAAGAAAACTATTATTGTTATATCCAAGATGATTAAAACAAAACTTTTAAAATGTAATGGTGAAAATATTACTTTTTTGCCCTATATGTTTTTGTTTTCCCCAGCTTTGATGATTAAAGTGCATCAGACTTTGATTTTCTGATTTTCATGCACGAAGCACAGCAAATGGTTTCACTGCAGGAGAAAGGCTGAATGCAAGCAAAAAGCAGTCTTTTCACTAAATTCAAATTATTTATAAAATCCATCAAGTTTTATGTAACAAATTCTGGCCCTGAAGCACAACATAACACTTTGTATCTATAACCAACAAAGAAACAATGAGTGTAGAGTATACACTGCTTTTCCTCATTTAGTCAAGCTCTTCAATACTAAAAAGAACACATGAAAAATATTTACATTTATTAGTGAGCAGAGCAACTGCTTTATCAATGAAAATTACCCCTCACATTTAAACCATGAACATTGTCTTAGAAAAGCACTTGAATCATGTCAAATAAAAATAATAAATCTTCATGTGTTCTTGCGAGTAATCTTTGAGTTGTCTAAGAATAAATCAGTATTAATTTATCTTCATTTAAAATACTTTTTTTTTGTTTAACTAGATGAGTGTCTCATTTCTAATGAGAAATGTTTATACAAAAATCAATTCTTAACTGGTGCCCTCAACTAAGCTTAACTCTACTTGAACATTTGTTTAATTATGAATGGCTCATTTTTTTAAATACTCACACCACAGAATTTAAAATGATTTAACCAAGCAGTAGATGATTCACTTTCTGCAAAATAAGCTTAGATAACATTTTTAGTCTATATTTTCTATTTACCAACAATTGAACATGTCATTTTAAAAGCAAAAAGCTAGTTTGTCTTTTAGTACAAGAACTGTATTAGTTTCCAAGATGAAATAAAACATAAGGTTTCACTATCCACAAGAATAGGAGTTCCTTTATTTTATCAAAATAGTTATATTAAATTGTTTAAAAATGCAGGCCTTTCTTTGCAATTCTCTATTGCTTTATTAGAATTCCTCTGAATATTTCGTTCTAAACTTTGCTGTGAACACTGCAAGGGTTTTTTTTTGCTGCAGTCTAACCTCCAATTTAGATGTGTTATCTATTTGGCATTGTAAATTGCACCGGTGAAAACTTTTGTTTTACACATGTAGCTACATCAGTGCAGAAAACTCGAACAGAGGCAGACCCTGAGAGGAAAAGCCCTACTACAGAAGCATTTCTCTGGAAGAGGCTGATTCCCCAGGGATTGTCTACACTTAAAAAGACTGCAGTGGTGCAACTGCAACACTAGTGCTTCAGTGAAAATGCTACCTATGCCAACAGGAGGGCTTTTCCCGTCACGTAAGTAATCCACCTCCCTAAGAGGAGAAGCTCTTCTATTGACATAGTACTGTCAGGTAATTTGGTCAGTACAACTACATTGCTCAAAGGTGTGGATTTTCCACACCTCCCAGGCAACGTAATTACTCCAATAAAAGTTTATAGTATAGACCAAGCCTTAGTTGTAGATTAAAGCCATGGCAGTGCTTTAATGTGGAATCATAGTCATAGCACCAGCACTGGGACTGGTGCTTTACAGTGCTGTAACTTGCTGTACTCGGTGGAGGTGTATTTTCACACCCATGAGAAATAAAACTAAAGCGCAGTAACTTGCTAGTGTAGACAAGCCCTCAGCTGTAACTAATGCCAAGCTGTAACACGAGGGGTTATTCTGACACTTAATATGCATTCGTAACTTAATAGGCAGAGAGAGAAATCTCTCACATTGCAGGCAGTGGCGTGATAAAGCACAAAATTTCATATGAAGCATAGTTCACACTGCAAGTATCCATCACGGCTACAAATCTGAGATGTAATGAAATATTTTCTGTTTGGAATGCATGAGGAAGAAGGCAAGCTAATTCTCAGCACTCCCAAGGGTATGATTCAGAAGTTCCCTCGCACACATGACCCCAAATGTCGCTCTTTAAACTCTAAGCTATGTGGATGTTATCTGACTCTTAGCCACTGCCTTTCCTACATGGGAAATGGGAGATCTTTTCTAACCATTGCAGGCTGCCTTAAAAAAAATACTATGTCAAAATCCACTTTTAAAATGTAGAGAGACCGACAGATCAAGAATGGCTACAGCAGAGCTGCAGCAATTACTCTGTGTTAAGAGAATTTTATATTTCAGCTTTGTGTGTGTTAAATGGTACTGTTAAAAAGTGGCACGCAAACCTACAGGAATCAAAAGTATTGCAACTGAAGTTAGTTCTATTTAGAATTACCAGCAAAACTGTCTCTAAATGACTCCATTACATTTCCGGAATGCAGCACAAAGAGTATTCAAAATGGAGCAGTAGATTTAAGAACAAGAGTAGGAGTTTTAAATCAGTCTCCTTGGTTTGGGAAGTTAAGGTAAAGGATGTTATCTGGAGGGGAAAAAATTGTCAATCTTTCTTGCATGTACAAATCCCCAAAGTACAAATCAGAAATTTTCATTTAATAAAAAAGCTAAATCTGAAATATCTAACCCTTTAATTTCACACAGCAAGTCCTTACTATTTATAGTAATCTAAAAAACCCTATTTGTACTATAAAATTATATAAAAAAATGTTTAGGACATTAAAAAAAATCCTCCAACAAACTCTCATCTGTACCCATGGAAGTGCGTAAAACAGTAATCTGAAAATTTTCAGGGGTTATTCTATTAAGCCTCAAGCTGCGTATCCTTACATCTTCCAGTGCCGAATGGTTAGATAATGTTACATGAGTCAAATAATCTCTGTGCTACTGTCTGTACATAATGCTCCACCTTTTGATTAACCTTAAATAAAGAGGATGGTTTTATTTTAACACATTTGAAATAATGCACAGAATAATTTAACTGCAAACAGTACTAGACACTGTTAAAGCATAATAATTTTTCCCACATAAGAACTCTACAATATAATCCCATTTTATATAGTACAATTTTTTACAAGGCTTGTGAATTCTAAATTTACATTAAACACCACTCTTTACAGTTTTATCATTGTTATAAAGTAATAGTTCCATCAGAAATTAATTATGTCTTTGTTTCAAAAGTTCATCTATTTGAGTCTTGTACATATTTTTCACATCTTCAAGATCCAGACGAAGTTCTTCTGCCTCTTCTGCTTTCTCTCCATACATCTGAAGAATAGTATTATATCTTTGATCCAAATCCTAGAAAAAATGGGCTTTTGGTTATTTGGTTGTTCCCCCTAATTTAAAAGCAGACACACACATTTGTCTTCATTATTTGTCTAACACATTGCCTCAGCAGCTATTTTACAATGTTCAAGTGCTTTAGTTATAAAAACCTGAAAAGTTAAACTAATGTTAACTCATATAAACATACTCGGCATTATGTCTTCAATATTGGTAAACTTGTGCTCTTGGGAACTGTGAAAGCAAGCAAATACCTAAAGCAGGATTTTTAACTACAACGAGCAATAGCATGAACCTTCAAGTCAATTCAAGCTGTTATGGTAGGATACAGTGATAGGCAACCTAGGCTAGAAAATGAGCCGTATTTCATCTCAGTGGGCCGCAAGACTGTCATAACCAAAATGGTCTCCCGGAATAGGATAGTTTTTCTTACTACACTTGCATATCTAGAATTTGCAGGATGTGCCAACTAAACTGTAGCAGTGCTTTGATTGGAAGCAGAGGGAGCACATGGCTCTCAATGTTGTATGGAATCAGCATGCACCTTACTTCATGTGCCCTTGCTTTACACGTGTGTCACTTCAGGAATACAGGTAGGAAAAAACCTACACAGCTGGTAACCAGAAGAGTCTGACAACACTGCGGGCCACAGTAAACAAAATGTCTTGAGGGCCACACACAGAACCCTGATGTGTGTCCATGGGTTCGATTGCTTACCACTGGTATAGCCAAGGTGAGGGGGTAACATTTTCACAAGTGACTTGGGCTTCAATGCCTATGCCTCTCTGCTGTAAGTTTCTATATGAATTTCAAAGTGAAATAATCTAGAAAGGTTCACAACTTATCTAATGAAAGGGCATCTACTTCATAACTCGTCTCTTTAAATTATAATATTCATTTTTAAATCTCTTTTATCCTTCAGATTTTAAAAGTGCTAGTACACACGAAAGCATAAAACAGTTTAAGAAGCATTTTTCCTTCATTTCTACATAGCACAAAGTCTGAAAATTGTGCAACTGTTCATGTTCATAACTTAGGAATGAAGGAGAGAACATTCACCAAACTATCATTAGATTTATGTTGTAGGAAAAAAAGCTTAGCTTCAAAACCTTTCAGGTTTGACAATTTAACATGCTGCATGTATTAAAAAAAATAATTTCCAGAATGAGGTAACTGCAATTTACAAAATGTGCATGTGATACGTCTGCTAAAAAAATTAACACCCCAAAAATTTTAGTAATACAAGTGGATTAAAAATCTGCAGTGTTTATTAATTCCACCAGTGTCATGACCAGAGAGAATCTTAAAACTTTTTCATGTTAGGTTATGTTTTGACAAACTCGTAAAAATCGAGTATCCCCATATGCTGGCTCTCAAGATTCCAATTCACTCAAAAATTATGCACTCCGTGCCAGGTATTCAGAATGCTCTGAGCACAAAATTATGCACACCTAATTTGTGTGTATAATTGTAGGTAAAGTTATGACATCTGTGCATGCGCACGATTATTTGGCTATGAAGTGGTCATTGACATACAATTGCACTGACAGCACAGCATATTTAGTATTTCAGACAGTGAGCATAATTCTGAAAATATGACTCTCAGAATATCACAATTCTTGATACTGCACATGGATTATTTTATAAATATGCACACTAATTGAACTGTATGTTAGCTAGTATAACAATGAGAAAATCAATTTTGGAAGTAACTGATAATTGTCATGCAACAGCAAAACCTGCTGACAAAATCCATCTGTCTCTAACGTGCATCCTATGAAGTTATAAAGCAATTTGAGATTGTTTTGTCAAAAGAGAACTTACTTTTGAAATCTAAAATTGTATTCCTTTGTATTTTTCCACTGCCTAACTTAATTCAGCGCACTTTGTGATTCTTCATACATTTTCAACTTTAAGGAAAAGAGATTTGCATTAAGTATCACTCTGGGCACCTACAGAGTTATAGGTCTATTTAAGAATGCTTAATTTAACACAATTTTTTTTTTTATAAATCACGTCAATCTTTCACCCAAATTAATGATAGCCACCTACCCTTAGCTGTGCACGTAGTTTTGGTATCTCCTTCACCTTTTCTTCGAATTCATCATTTTGATTTGTTAATTTAACCAATTCTTCTGCCATTATTGATCGAGTTCTTTCAAGGTTTCCAATTTCCAGCTAAGATAACAGGCATTTAACAATTAGTTCTTCGTGCTGAGAGTGACCTACTGAGTTAACAACTTTGGTTTTCATTTAAAAAAAAATCAGAATGCTTGACCTTGGAAGTCATATTATTATATAGACCAGTAATACTCAGTGGTTCAAGAGCTAAAATAGCCATCAACTTTACCCAAAAGAGACACTGTTCTGAAAAGAGCTGCAGGAGACACATTAAAGATCCACTTGTGGTTCGCAAGCCTCAGTCTGAGTATCACTGATATAGACAGTACCAAAAGAGTATCAGATTTACAAAGTAAGACAATAATATAGTTAAGACACTATGGGTACATCTAGACTACATGCCTCTGGCGACAGAGGCATGTAGATAAGGCTACCAGGCATAGGAAAATGAAGCAGCGATTTAAATAATCACCGCTTCATTTAAATTTACATGGCTGCCGCCCTGAGCCGATCAGCTCCAGGAGGCATACCTGGGAGGTCAACAAATGCCTTTGATGTCGGCCCCCGCACGTCCAGACTACCGCGCTGAGCCGACAAACAGCTGATCGGCTCAGGGCGGCAGCCATGTAAATTTAAATGAAGCGGTGATTATTTAAATCGCTGCTTCATTTTCCTATGCCTGGTAGCCTTATCTACATGCCTCTGTCGCCAGAGGCATGTAGTCTAGATGTACCCATAGTGTCTTAACTTGCTGTGGGATAAAATATATAAACTATTATACAACTGTCAAATTAAAGAGCGCTTTCATATATAAACTGAAGCTCAACATTAATTTACTAAACTGAGTGCATACACCTTAAACATCGAAAACACATTATCCAAGTTTAGGACATATTTAGAATGACAACACAACTAAATGTTTAAGTGATGTTTCTATTTTTAAACTTGCACATCACAAGTTCACCTTACAATTCCTTATGCTTAACCAGAGAAAATCCCCAAGACTTACAACATTCCCTGATGAGTACAAACTAGTAGGTAATACAGAGATAGATGGGGAGAGATTTTGATTACTGCTTTTAAAGCATCTTCAATTAAGTGCCCTATGAAACAGCATTCGACACAAATACCCCACACCTTTTTTTCTTTCTTTCTCCCAGGAACCCTGATCAACATTAAGATAGCCAGAGAGAGTTTACTTTATCCTCATTAGGGATGTAACAGTATAGTCGATTAACTGATTAGCAAAAGCTTATAGATTAATGTTAAAGCCTACACGAATTAAACCACTCCTCCCCATCCCCGCCCCACTTCCAGTAATTTTTTTTTTTTTAGCAGACTGGACAGAAGCCTGGTTCAGTCCTGGTTTGCACTGAGTCTGGGAGTTCAGACTCCCGCCCTTGACAGGGGCTGCTGCCTCTGTACAGGAGGTAGTCGGTCCCACAAGGGGAGCTGGTTTTTAAACTGACTCCCCTCACAACCAGCTCCCACCTGGCACCCCACGCTACTGCCTCTGAGGAAGACACAGGAGTGCAGGGTAAAAGGGGGCTCCTCGGGAATGGGGCTGGAGCACACTGGCCGCCCCACCCCTTGGGACTATAGAGTAGTCGACTAACAGATAAGAATTCATGAGGTTAATTGATTAGTCAATTAACCGATATTTAACATCCCTAACCCTCATCATCCAAAAACTAGACAATGAATGCTTATTTCTCTTGTTATGGCCCATCATATCTTTAACAAAACTTCCTGGGGGATGGGTAGGAAGGAATGTCCCTACAGTGTGAAAAATAAAACCATTGTTTGCACATCCAGACTCTATACAAAAGTAAGTAAAATAATATTTGTAAAAGAAAACCAGTATGAAGAGGGTAGGGGGAAGAAGGGGAGAAATCACATTAATCTTTCTACTTATAAATTTAAAGTGACTTTCACAGTACCTGTAGGTGAGAAATCTCTCCTTCCTTCAGTTTTAACTGTGATTGCAGGTTTTCAATTACACTTGAACCTGCTCCCATCCTTACAGCTTCATAAAGATTGGTCCCACTTGTAGACATTGAACCAAATGAATGATCATGAGGATCATCCTACAAATAAAAAGTTAACCAACCATCAGATTGGACACAGATTATTTTGCATCTGAAGACTTTAACACTAAAGGCAAGAGCCTACTGATTCAACACAGACAGTAAAGGAAGACCATCATCATTCGAGTCAAAAGATTCAATGCTTCAAATATATTCATTCAAAACAAAAGCTCATTTTGAATGTTAAACAAAATTTAAGGTAACTCTTTATTTGCTTGCTCCCATGTTACCTTTGCTGCAGACATCTAGCTAGCACGGATCTCTGTATTTTCGTAGATAAAATAATTAGAAATAACAGTCTTTGCACAGGTTTCATCAAGACTGTGGCAATCTCTCATGAGTGAGTAGTGCATCATACTAGAATCACTGGATTAAAAATGGTCAGTCAACTCATCCCTAGATATGATGTCTGCTTATTTGATAAAGCATCCAGAAAGAACTACATGAATAGCACTTGAAAAACTTTATATCTTGCACGTTACTGTACTGTATTTTATTTAATGTGCTCTCAGGCACCCTCCTTCAGATGCTATGCAAATCAAGACAGTTGATAGGTATGTTTAAGAAAGCCTAATTAGGGCTGTCAAGTAATTAAAAAATTTAATCGCGTGCGCCTCCCATTTGAAACGCCACTGAGGTGTTTCAACAGGGCAGCGCTGCATGAAGCCTGGGATAAGCTGGAATTCCCCGGGCTCCATACAGTGCCGCCCCTTGGAAGCATCACGGCGGCGTTTCCAAGGGGCAGTGCATTAGGAGCCTAGAATCAGCTGGGGACTCCAGCTGATCCCTGGCTCTGTGTTGCAAAGCCCCTCTGAAGTGCCACTCTGGTGCTTCAAAGGGGCTTTGCAACAGCCGAGCTGGGGAACTCCAGGTGATCCCGGCTCCGCTTGCACTGTCTCTTTGAAGCGCTGGAGCAGCACTTCAAAGGGGCAGCGCAGCATTAATGCCTGCGATTAACATGTTTAAAAAATTAACACATTAACTCTGTCCTGCGTTAATCACAGGCGTTAATGCAGGTCAACTGACATCCCTAATCAGAATAGTGAAATCTTTTCTCAAAGCAGTTATTTACGAGATAAAATTAATATGCTAAGAAAAGATACCAACATGATTCACTGTAAACACACATAAGGTAGCAAAATGGGTTATCAAAAAGTATCAGCTGATAAATGGTACATCACCTGAGAAAGGAAGGATGCCTGAAGCCCTGCCATATCAACTCCACTTATAGAACTTGAGCGTGACAGAGTTGGAGTACTCGAAACAGTGTCCATTGTTGATAAGGTAAATGACTTGCGCTCCTTTGAAAAGTCCAACAGAAAGTGAATTAAAGGAGTAAACCCTGGGGTTTCTTTTATCAATCCCAAATGCACAGCACAAAACCACTTTTCTGTATATTAACTGAAGTTCAAAGAAGTCCATTTAACACCATCACTGGTACATCTAGCCCAAACTTAACTCCTTAGATTTTCCTGACTATGCACAAACAGACGTTACTACCAACTGCAAAGGGTTCTTTCACTAGACACACTGTATAATGCTGACCTAAGACCACAAAAGCACATGAGCCCTAGAGACAATTAAGCATTTTGCTGAGTTCATGTGCCTCACAGGAATGACACTATAAACAAAAGATAGGTTCTTCCCAGGATGAAAGACAGTCAAGAGATTTTTAAGTGTTACAATGCTCAAATTCAGGATCCGAGGCTAAACTTTGTTACTGATGAGTTTTCTAAATAGGCTGACATCCTCTGCAGTCAGCAACTGAAGACATGCTGACTTCAGAAGGATGAAGTAAATAGCTTTGAACAGGACATTGGTTTCAGAACTGCAGCAACTAAGAGCTAACTAACAGCTGTGTTAGTACATCAACTGCTGACAGGTAGGGACTGAAAGCTGTTGTCAACTGATGGGCATTTGGTAAACTATGCTAAACAAACTGGAGTTCAGGCCTTACAGTAACCACATCACACAGACACATAATTGGAATTAACTGGCATCTTGCTGTTAGTCTCAGCAGAAGCAACAGGTTGTCAGTAGGTTCAAACACTGAATTCCATGCCCCTCAAGGTAAGGACAAGGCACACTGGTGCAGCACTATGCTGCCACTATCCACATTTCATCTATTCTGTGGCTAAGGAGAGGAATTATTCAGAATTGTCAATACAGCACCTTTCACACAAGCATTGAGTTCACAGGAAAAAAGATGTGGGGGAGTTCTAGATACTTAGTTTCATGGCATTACCATATGCCATATCCTCATTTAATCCTTGTTTGTTTATATGACATTTTCACACTCTAGACTTGCTGTTACCATGTGACAATAAGATTTTTAAAAATACATGAATTAACATTAAAGCAAATTTCAATACCTTCTCCTTTGCTGTTTCTTGTACAAAAATTGCTTTCTTTTTTTCTTGTTCAACCTTCATTTTCTCCATTTCTAATTGAGTAGTTAACAGCATCTAAAAATGAGGAAATATGGATTGTTAATCCCCTGCAAACTCAGAATTTTATGATGAAGTAATGCAATACTGAATTAAGCAATACCTTTTCTTTCTTTGCTTCATCAAGAGTTTTCACATACTCCTCTTTCAGGTTTTCTAATTCAACCTCATATCTATATTGAAAAAAAGAGAAAGGCCATATAATTTTATTAAAGACAATTTTGTCTTTATGTTTCTATTTCAGGTTCCCACACAGAAAAATAATGTAGTGAAACTGATAACATAAGGCACAGAGTTTGTTTTCTCTACAAATATATAAATAAGTTAAATATAACTGCATCAGTAACAGAACTGAGCTGTCTTACCAAATGGAAAGCTAAAATTACTCTGTTAGAAAAATACCCTCACAACTGACTTGCAGGCAGCATGAGGCTACTTAAATATTGGCTAATCTTGGAACCCCTGTTAATCACTTTTCATATATCCATGCAACTCTGAAGTGCCACTCTGGTGCTTCAAAGGGGCTTTGCAACAGCCGAGCTGGGGAACTCCAGGTGATCCCGGCTCCGCTTGCACTGTCTCTTTGAAGCGCTGGAGCAGCACTTCAAAGGGGCAGCGCAGCATTAATGCCTGCGATTAACATGTTTAAAAAATTAACACATTAACTCTGTCCTGCGTTAATCACAGGCGTTAATGCAGGTCAACTGACATCCCTAATCAGAATAGTGAAATCTTTTCTCAAAGCAGTTATTTACGAGATAAAATTAATATGCTAAGAAAAGATACCAACATGATTCACTGTAAACACACATAAGGTAGCAAAATGGGTTATCAAAAAGTATCAGCTGATAAATGGTACATCACCTGAGAAAGGAAGGATGCCTGAAGCCCTGCCATATCAACTCCACTTATAGAACTTGAGCGTGACAGAGTTGGAGTACTCGAAACAGTGTCCATTGTTGATAAGGTAAATGACTTGCGCTCCTTTGAAAAGTCCAACAGAAAGTGAATTAAAGGAGTAAACCCTGGGGTTTCTTTTATCAATCCCAAATGCACAGCACAAAACCACTTTTCTGTATATTAACTGAAGTTCAAAGAAGTCCATTTAACACCATCACTGGTACATCTAGCCCAAACTTAACTCCTTAGATTTTCCTGACTATGCACAAACAGACGTTACTACCAACTGCAAAGGGTTCTTTCACTAGACACACTGTATAATGCTGACCTAAGACCACAAAAGCACATGAGCCCTAGAGACAATTAAGCATTTTGCTGAGTTCATGTGCCTCACAGGAATGACACTATAAACAAAAGATAGGTTCTTCCCAGGATGAAAGACAGTCAAGAGATTTTTAAGTGTTACAATGCTCAAATTCAGGATCCGAGGCTAAACTTTGTTACTGATGAGTTTTCTAAATAGGCTGACATCCTCTGCAGTCAGCAACTGAAGACATGCTGACTTCAGAAGGATGAAGTAAATAGCTTTGAACAGGACATTGGTTTCAGAACTGCAGCAACTAAGAGCTAACTAACAGCTGTGTTAGTACATCAACTGCTGACAGGTAGGGACTGAAAGCTGTTGTCAACTGATGGGCATTTGGTAAACTATGCTAAACAAACTGGAGTTCAGGCCTTACAGTAACCACATCACACAGACACATAATTGGAATTAACTGGCATCTTGCTGTTAGTCTCAGCAGAAGCAACAGGTTGTCAGTAGGTTCAAACACTGAATTCCATGCCCCTCAAGGTAAGGACAAGGCACACTGGTGCAGCACTATGCTGCCACTATCCACATTTCATCTATTCTGTGGCTAAGGAGAGGAATTATTCAGAATTGTCAATACAGCACCTTTCACACAAGCATTGAGTTCACAGGAAAAAAGATGTGGGGGAGTTCTAGATACTTAGTTTCATGGCATTACCATATGCCATATCCTCATTTAATCCTTGTTTGTTTATATGACATTTTCACACTCTAGACTTGCTGTTACCATGTGACAATAAGATTTTTAAAAATACATGAATTAACATTAAAGCAAATTTCAATACCTTCTCCTTTGCTGTTTCTTGTACAAAAATTGCTTTCTTTTTTTCTTGTTCAACCTTCATTTTCTCCATTTCTAATTGAGTAGTTAACAGCATCTAAAAATGAGGAAATATGGATTGTTAATCCCCTGCAAACTCAGAATTTTATGATGAAGTAATGCAATACTGAATTAAGCAATACCTTTTCTTTCTTTGCTTCATCAAGAGTTTTCACATACTCCTCTTTCAGGTTTTCTAATTCAACCTCATATCTATATTGAAAAAAAGAGAAAGGCCATATAATTTTATTAAAGACAATTTTGTCTTTATGTTTCTATTTCAGGTTCCCACACAGAAAAATAATGTAGTGAAACTGATAACATAAGGCACAGAGTTTGTTTTCTCTACAAATATATAAATAAGTTAAATATAACTGCATCAGTAACAGAACTGAGCTGTCTTACCAAATGGAAAGCTAAAATTACTCTGTTAGAAAAATACCCTCACAACTGACTTGCAGGCAGCATGAGGCTACTTAAATATTGGCTAATCTTGGAACCCCTGTTAATCACTTTTCATATATCCATGCAATAACCTTAGGCCTCATTTGTTGTATGCATACTGCTTTAATAGTCAAAACACTTACTCTATCATTGCATAAACCAATAACACATTAACCTTGAAGCAACTTCAGTAACATAACTATTTCTTGTACAAAAATATTGTAAGCATACTACAGAAGTGTGCATAACTCCTCAAATTATCACAATAAAATCCAGAAACTAGGAGACAAAACTATCCCAAGTATCAAAATTTCTTAGGATTGATAGACTGCCTGAGAAGAAACTGCAGTTGACTAGACAGGATGAAGTCTACCAAAATATCGAAGTATTTTGGTTCTCTTAATGCATTACCAGCATCTTGACATACTGGAATCCCAATTCAGGAAAGCACACTTTCCTCAGGAATAGCCCCACAGGTTACCAGGGAAACCCGCTATTTGAAACACAGTTTGTCAGACTAGTTAAGAGGAAGATTGTCACAAGTAATTCACAGTTAATATTTCTACAACTCACTACAAGCTTGCTTCTACAAGTTTCTGTGCTGAGACTGAGGTGGGAAGCATGGATTGGATGTTGGTGGAAATTCATCAGGGCAGAAGTTTAGAAGGCGGTGGTACAGAACCACTAAAAAGTATTAGTCTTTAAAGGACGTTTGCTTGTATTACTATTAAAAATAAAAATGTGTTTAAGAAAATAGTTGCTGCCACAGATCAGCTTCTTAGAACTTGATAACTATTCCATTTCTTTTGGGAGAAGATGTTGGATGCTTTCTAATGTCCCAATCCTGCAAGCTTCTCTGTGCAGACAGATCCGTGTATTTACATGGAAACACACTGACTGCATGTGTACAGAGTAGCTTGCAAGAGTAGAGCGAATGAGAACATTATCTAATATTTGCATAAAAAGAAAATGAAGTAGGTGTCAGTGACTGGTCATGGGTGGAGTGAGAGATGTAAAGTTCAAAGTATAAGTGCCATTTGAAACCCAAATGGTACAAAGTCAGCCCAGAAGAGCTTAAGTAACCTGAAAGTAGCAGTTACCAGAAAAATTAAAGGATTTCGGTATTTGTCTTTCTTCATGATACTTGTCCAGCAACACCATTAGTATTTTAAATAGCAATTATCAAATTAATGCAAAAGGACAAGCTTTCCTAGTCAAACTCAAAAACCTGAAGTAGTCTGTTATAGAAGATGATATGTTCCTTAATTTCCATATGAATCTAACATAACACACATGAGCCAAGAACTTAACCCAATTCACCTATTGTTTTCATTTTCCAGTTTCTTGAGTCTGGATCTTTCTGCTTCTAGTTGAGCTTGAAGGCGACTGTTTTCCTGTCTCAAGAGGCTATTCTGTGATTCAGTGGAAGACACCTGAATTTTATTGGAAAGAAGTTCCTCTGTAGCAGCGCGTTCTCTCTCAGCTGCTGCCGCCAGGAGGGCTTGAGATTCACCTAATCCCCAAGACCGAAAAATACACAATCCATTATTTAAAAAACACAAAAACAAATACCCCTCCTGCCAAAAACCTAGTAACTGACTTTCACCCCAAAATAGACAGACATCCATAATTTAAGCCAATTATTGGTCTAACTGAAACGTTTGGCATATTTGCTAAAAGATGGCAATTCAGATATTTTTCAAACAATTGTAAAGGTTTATTCTTGTACTAATTCCATCTTTAAGAGAAATCCAGCCTTTTCTACAGCAAATGTGGCAAGCAATTACATCATGGCATTAACCAGCAAAAGTACGTAATAGCAGGGCAAAGACTTCATTATGGACTCAAAGATACAGCACTGTTTGAGAACTAGTTGGCAGCAGTATGCCTGCCCTCAAACTAGGGATGTCAACGAGTAGTCAACTAGATGATTAACTGAGAAGCTTAATCTTATCAGTTAATCTAGTCCACCACTCCGTTCCCCCCTCCCTGGCTGCCTCTATCAGACGCAGCAGTGGGGGAGGGCGAGGCTGCTTCGCAGCAGCAGCCCCTGACCATGGGGAGGTCAGAGCTCCATGCAGAGCAGTGTCTGTCCATGGTGAGCTTGGGCACACCGTGGACAGAGGCTGCTTTGTGGCAGCTTCCCCTGTCCCCCCTCTATCTGCTACCTCTGACAGAGAGGCAGGAGGGGCGGGGGGGAGGAGGCTCTGTATCAGAGGGCAACAGTGTGGGGTGCCAGGCGAGAGCCAGTCTGCGAAGGGAGCTGGTTTTTCAACTGGCTCTCCTCATGGACCAGCTTTCATCTGGCACCCCCATGCTGCTGCCTCTGTGGTGGCAGGGGGCTCCCTGGAAGTGGAACTGGCATGCACTGTCTGCCGGCCCTGCCCCTGCAGACTATATAATAGTTCACTACAACCCTCAACCCAGCTGAAATACTCAATAGTCGCACAATAAACTATATCAGCTGAGCCAAGACCATGGACTCCAAATACCAGTCTAACAATTCAAGGTATTGGGCTGTTTCCATTCCCCCTTCATCCCTTGTCATGCCCACTTCCTTTATAAAATTCTATATGCATATATAGTGCTTTACACTTATGAAAATCACTTGCATTACACAATCAAGTATTTTAAAAATGCAGTAAATTATACCTCACAGCATCCTTGCAACACACTTGGCATCCTATATTACAGATACACATCTGTAGAGCCCTGCGTGGATTTGTATCCGTATCTACATTTGTATCTGCAAAAATGAGCTTTAGACATAAGTCTATGCCTTTCTCATTACATTACTGCCATCTAGTGTTTCCCCCACATTTACACAGTTCACTGAAGCTTTTACAAGGAAGATTTACCGAGCCTGTCAGAAAGATTCTTCTCTAACTTTTCCCAGGAGGAGGTTTGTGCTCCCAGTGTTGCTTGCAGATTTTCAATCTGGCGAAGAAGTGGCCTGGTGGCAGATGTAACACTTTGACTCAGTTCTTGGTTCCGATTTTCTGCTTCTTGGAGTCTCTGAATTATGAATTAGTAAAATGCTTTTACATCTTAACACTTACCACAAAATTCAGCTAAAAACATAACTATAATCTTTATACGTTCTACATAACTACTATTTAAACTGCACTTTTTAAAAGTAAAATTAGAGGAGAATAATGTATCCTCAAGAGCTGGAGTGACGTTTAGACAAGTCATCTGGAAACAGGTCTGGTGTTTAAGTTCAAACAGTAGAAGATTTAATTTCCAAAGACCCTTTTCCTGATGGTAGTGTTGTGTTAGCATACAACTGAAGTATCTAGTATTAGAAGATAAGCCTCACCTAGCAGGCCCTAGTTCTTAGCTGACAGCACGTTTTGGTTTCAATTTTTAAAATGCCATTACTTGAGAAGAAAGAAGAGCACCCCAATCAGGGGGATTTCTCTCCTCCAATTTCATCTCTACCCAAAGTTCAGATTCTGAGTTTTGCCCCACTACTAACCATTTCACACCCCAAAAGGATCTGCTATCAAGCCCACCTTTCCCTCCTGCTGCTAATAGTGTCATTTGGCACTACTCTTTCTACAGGTCCCAGGAAGAGGCCACTAATCTCTTACTCCAAAAAGAATTAAGTAGTCCATTCTTCCAAAGAAGGTAGGAAGGGATTTAGATGTTCATTTGTTGGAAGTGTTACAGCATAATCTAAATGGTTAAATTTTGTTTCACACTAAAAACATCTGTCATGCTTAAGAAGCTGAAATAATGATCTTCAAATAAGGGCTGCAAATCAAACAACAGCCAACGGTTTTTCCTAACATTTGTTCCTAATGTTAGTCTGCACTAGAAATGGCCTAAACTATGATGTGGCCCATTAAGTTTAAAGTCATTTTAGCATTTTAAGTCCTCCTCCCCAGACAGTCGACTTAGCCTAATCTTATGTGTGTAATAGGGATGTAAAAAAATTTATAAAAATAGTAACTGTGTAACTGATAAAACCTGTATCGGTTACATGGTTAACTGTGCCCCCATGGGGTTGCCGGCTGCTCATGGCCCCACAGGATTTAACCATTATCAAGAACCGATAAGCATCAGCTTCTCTGTTCACTGGTTAACTTCTTACATTCCTAGTGTGAAGGGTAATTGTAGCTATACTGGTCTCCCCCAGGATGTTAAAGGAATAAAGGGGAGGAGATAATATCTTTTGCTGGATCATATTCTGTTGGTGAGAAAGAAGCTTTCCTGCTGCAGAGCGCTCTTCTATGCTTGTGTGGCTGTTCAGGAGAAATTTAAGTGCCACCGAGCTGATTAGCACATGCCATGATGCACACACAAAAAAATCATTATGCACATAATGGAAAAGATTAAAGGGAACATTGCTCAGCATAACAACAAAATGTAAGCTGGAACAGTTTGGTTAGTACACCTATTCCTGTTCATCCAGAAATATAATTTATGCCATCATGTGCCAACAGTGTCCTTCTGCTATATATATATTGGACAGACTTCTCAGACACTTCACCAAAGAATTAATGCCCACAAATCAGACATCTTCACAAGGAAAAACCAGTTTCTTTTCATTTCAACCTACCTTGATATAGTCTTAAGGACCTTACTACAAGCATCTTACTTCAGAGACTTTAACACCAGATTACAGAAGGAAACTTCAGAACTTTCATTCATGCTTAAATTTGACACTTTACGAATGGGCCTTAAAGATGCTAATTACCTTACCCATTACAAAGATAACTTCCCCACTTATCACCCTTGAATAGCCATTCTTTGACTCAAATAACTATTCCCTCCCTCTCCCTCACCTCACCTTCTGTACTAAATCTGATTTGTCAGCTTAATAATGTGTTCACTTTTTTCATTATATTCCTTTGGTATATATGGTCATGCCAATTCTCTTCCAGAATATGATCTGAGAAAGTAGGTCTGGCCCTCGAAAGTTCATCACCTATTAAACCATCTTGTTAGTCTTTAAAGTGCTACATAGTTTTTCCTTTTGTGTTAGTATACAGAATTAGCACATATTCTAAGGGACCATTCAAGGTAAAGTGCCTCGCTAACACCACTGCAGTCATAGTACAAAAAGAGAGGTAAGTGGGTTATAGATTGTTGTAATCTACTATATATTTGAGAGTTTGTCTGTCCATTTGTTCAAGAGTGCCTCCTAAATGGTAAGAGCTAGAGTCACCAAATGTGGTATATTCATACAGGAACTTTGCTGGCTGTTCCCCTTTGTCAGACAGCAAGGGGAAAGTGCACAGTTTGCTGCATTCCTCACCCTGGCTGGGGAGTGCAGGAGGAAACAAACCTGGACCTGACCCAGTTGGGTGACATGCAACCCTCCCTCACCTGTGTCCACTGGAACTACAGAGGCCAGGGAAAGGTGCTTCTCACTTGGCTCCATGCTGCTGTGGTGAGAGAGGGCTGAGTTTGTCTTCTATCCCTGGGCCAGCCTGCATACTGATCCCCTCATCCCCAGCCCCACCCCAGAGTAATGATTTAAATGAAGCATGTATAAAAAATAAATCAAGTTAAGGAGCTGAGGAATGCCAGGTAAATGTTCCAGTAAGCCATACATTCGATGTCTCAGTTAAAATGTAGTGTCTAGCAGAGTAATGGATTTAAGCTCCCAGGCTCATCTTCTGAAAGTGTTCTACATGTTTCCTTTGAGGATGAGGACTGAGAGCATTCATATGGAGTGAATGCTTGGGAAAAGCGGTCACCCACAGGTGATAAGGTTCCTGTATTACTCTCCTTTGTGAATTTGAGTGTAGTGATTGTCTAGTTTCACCCACAGTTATAACTGGGGCATTTAGTACACTGCTGAATGACGTATACCACATATGATAGGCATGTGTAAGATCCAAGGATCTTGAAATGTGTGTTGTGGAAGATGTTGATCATTTTAGTAGCAGAGATATGCCTGCAGGTTTTCCATTTGTTAGTCTGGCAAGGCCTGGTACCACTTTGATGTGTGTCCTGGTTTGCAGGACACTTGTTTCTGATAAGCTTGGAGAGGCTGGGTGGTTGTTTGAAGGCCAAAAGTGGGGGTTCAGAAGAGACACTGGATTTATAGTTTGTTACAATAATCTGCAATCTCTTTATCCATCCAATGGTCTCTTACAATATATACCAACCGTATATGCTAAACAATTTGTTCCACCTTGGATTTTGTTGTGACACTGAAAGAACCTTTTCCAAAACTGAAAATGAGGAGCGCATGGCTTGAAAGTTTGTTTCTCACCAAACAAATAGTGCTAGTGCTAGGCATACACCAATTAAGCTATTGCTTAGGGCCCTGAACAGCTCAACAGAACCCTCTATTTGCTGTATTTAGTAGGGTTTTTTTTTTGGGGGGGGGGGCCTGCTTAGGGCCCTCCCATGGGTTAGCACCACCACTGCCAACAGAAGTTGATCCAATAAAACATATTACCTAACCCACAATGTGTCTCAGAATAATCCTTGTCATTTTTATTTTGAATCACATGAATACAGAGTAGCTGGAAATACCAATGAAAAATGTTACTGCACCTGTTGTAGTTCTCGGATTTCTTGGCGCAAATAGTCCTCTTTTCTTGCTGCTTGCTGCTCAGCACGTTGAAGTGCTAGTCTCAAATCTGCCACCT